AGTCTGACTTCATCATCAGGATTTGATTATTCTTAACAGCAATTTTGTTGTAAGTTTTATTCACCAAAGTACCACTGTGTATAAAAGTAACTGTGATTCTTGTTATTTCTGGTTTTATAACGGTTTTGTTTTATTCTTAAACACACCTTAGTGACTATTATGAGAAATCGATCATTGATTAGTTCCAGGAGAGTCCAGAGCTCCACATGTTCTAATACGTTAAAGAAGAAGCTCACCGCTGCTGGTGACATTTTAAAAGTTCTCCTCAAGACGCACAGTTACAGAAACAAACACTAAATGATGTCGTATGTTTCTGTGCTTATAGGAGCAGATTGTTTGGGGGGGGGGGGGAAGCTTTGCAATATTGAGACAGTGAGTCAGTGACTGCAGGCCCCACAGTGACCGGCTTTATAGGATTAAAGCTGTCAGATGATAAGACGACAGAATCAACAGCTCTGTAATTACTGCATCAGAGGAGATGACAACTTAATAATATTTAAATGCACAAAGGTATTCTGAATAAAACATCTCTCACAGCGATGTAATGCATCAGGAAGTGCAGACATTAAAATGACATCACATCAGGGTGAGAGAGTAAAGAAAGGCAGACTGAAGGCGACTTGTGTCGGCATCGTGATTCATTCTCAAACTTCCCCTGAATGAACTCAAGTAACAGAGACTACTGAAATACAGGCGCTGAGAGAGGTTTGGCACAAATCCTTGAGGTGGATCTTAATTGCCTGCACTGCGACGTCTCACCTGATAACTTCAGAATAAAGTACATTTCCACAGCAGTAATCCCATCAGTACAACAACAGTCATGTTCTCCCCTCTGCTGAGGTTAACATGCTCTCATTCAGGGTCAGTGTTACAGCGCCGTCAGCGACACTAAACACCTTCCTGCAGATGTTTCACATTAAAAGGCCCGACAGTAAGAGGATGGAGAGCATCCTTTGAGTTGGCTTTTATTGTGAAAGCACCTGATTTGACTCTTTGCTGAGAAACATAAATCTCTTTCCAACATCTCTGGGTAACGAGCATCACTGTTACACAAAGATGAACCATGAAGAGCTCCAAAACCACTAAACCTGTGGAGCAGAGAGGGAGCGATGACCGACTGCTGGCCGAAGCTACGCTGCGATTGGCCAGTCCGTGTTTGAGGGGCGGGACTTAGCAAAGGGTCAGTTGTTTTACTTCCATATGAAGTATTTTAAGTTTCAGTCATCAAATACCGACTAAGGTTGTATATTCTGACTTTCTCAGCAACGTTAAGAACAAAGCCTGGATATAAATTGACAGGTCACTAACAGAGACAACAACAACAGGACTCCTCCGCAGCCCAAATATGGTCGCTTCCTTTCCTGGTTGCAAAGCAAAAAAACAAAAGCAAGATGGCGACGGACAAAATACCGAAATCGAGGCCGTCTATGAGACGAAACACATCAGACAAGAGAGCGACAGCCGAGATGAGACGCTGCCTCTCGGTAAACACAAACTCCACATCTGCATCATCTTTTGCCTTTCCCTCGGTGTGTTGGGAAGCAAAAAGAAAAGGATGATTGTCCCAGTGTACTACCACACCACAGCCACTTCCTGCTCTGCTGTGATACAGTCCTATGAATCCAACTCCAGGTGCATGTTGTAGTCTGTTATCTGTACATGAAGCATAATTCATGTTTCTACATGAACATAATCTGATCACATAATGCTCGTTATCCTTCAGGGTTCTTTGTTCCTCCTCCCGAGTCAGCCAGGTGAGTTCAGTCAAAAACAAAAGCCTGATAGCGCCTCGAGCAGCCAGCGAGGCGGAGAGCAGAAATAACCAGGTGGCACAGTCTGATGAAATGAAAGTCTAATGCCCCCCCCCCCCCCATAAAGCCATCCAGCAGGAGGTGGCCGGGGTCAGGCATTGAGTGATAGGTTCCGCAGAGAGCAGGAGGCAGCGCTGGACTTTTGAACTCTCCCAGGTGGGAGGAGACGGGTGGACTGAGCTTCCTTTAGAGATCCTAAATATTCTGCAGAGGAACCCTAACCCTACCCCTACCCTCCTAACCTACCCTCCTAACCTAACCCTACCCTCCTAACCTAACCCTACCCCTACCCTAACCCCCTAACCTAACCCTACCCTCCTAACCTAACCCTACCCTAACCCAACCCTACCCTAACCCCCTAACCTAACCCTACCCTCCTAACCTAACCCTACCCTAACCCCCTAACCTAACCCTACCCTCCTAACCTAACCCTACCCTAACCCCCTAACCTAACCCTAACCCTACCCCCCTAACCCCCTAACCAGGAGCTGAATGAGAGGACGTCCACGTCGGGCCTACGATGAGATTATGAAACGATCGTCGAGTCTTCTTACTGCATCAAAATGTTTCTAAACATGATTTATTTTCTCTCACTGTGACTGTCTGCTATTTTTAAAACATTGCATATTTGCAATGATTCATAATGCAATATTAGTAACAAATAGATGAGATGTGTTAACTGGACGGTTGAATAAAAAACCTGATAAATGACTGTAACAAAGTTGCTCCCTTTGTTCTTTTGTTCTGATCCGACCTGTGATTTTATGATCCTAGTTATCACTCAGCATATAGCCGGCCGTGTGAAGCCTTCAGTCAGTCGGCTATAAGACAACGTTCCTCTGTCTCCTACTTCTATGTGATCACGCAGATCGAACGGCACAGCTGAACGTCACAACCATAAAACAATCACATGGTCAGCTGACCTGTCTGTCTGTCTCACTCCTCGCCAGATGTTCGCTGTGATGAAGAGTTTTGTTGTTTGCCAACTAAAAAGGGGAGAAGAAGAAGAAGAAGAAGAGATTTCAGGTTGCTCAGGCGTCTCCACATAAAGCAACATGGAATGTGGACGCAAATCATTGTCAAAAAGCAGGAAAATATTAGATAAAAACATGACTCTTAACATTCATTCTATCGTCTCACTGCCCTTCAGCTGAGTTTCCCTCAAGATATAAATGAGTGAAGTGATCTCCGTCTCTCTCCAGTCAAAACTTTTCTCTTTTATTGAGACCTGCTGCTCTGATCGATGAGTGCAGCGTGGACGTACGATGTCACCGATCAATCACCGGCCGAGCTGAATCCTGACGCTCGCTCTGACGCCTCCTCTGTGCTCTCCAGACGAGTCATGCTGTAAACACAGGTCCTTTACTGTGTGGTGCAGCGCTACTGCTCATATTCACAGAGGCTTCATAAAACTTTATATTACACTTCATGAAAATGTCGTAGTTTCCTTTAATTATTTGTCTTTTCTTCTGGAGGCGCTCCTGTCAAGAGCTTTTTAAAGGATCATTAGGCAGATTTAAAGACACAGACGGAGCTCATTTGAGTTAAGTATAGCACATAAATGGCTCGCACTAGTACATGTCGGCCCTGACTGCGTCTAAAAGTTCTACTTGTTAAGGATTTAATTTGTCCAAAGACCCCGAGTCTCATCGCTCATCATTTTGGCCTTCGTTTCTTTTAGTGTCCGACTGAAACATCAGCCGGGAAATATAATCCAGCCATGATGTTATAAAAATCAAGCCTCATGTTCGCCATTTTGGCCGTCGCCATCTTGGTTTATGCAACCGGTGAACAGAAGCGACCATATTTAATGTCCAGACACAAAGACGTATTTGGTGGAGAAACCTAGTGTGTAATGTTTCACCAGAGAGACATTATGAGCTCCACGTCACTAGATGATTCCCGTTCTGTGTTCATGAACACAACGTCAGTTAAACCAGTGACCGTGTTAACTGGTGACTCTCAGCCGAATGCGACTACGGCTGCTCGTGCTGACAGCAGCTGTTGAAAACACCAATAGAACATGTAGGTCTCCTCGTAAAAGCCTTCATCTATTTTAAATACGGACTCCTCTGTGTTTATTATCTTTACCGAACATTTACGGAACTTACTGCGAGAAACCACGGACGCATTCGGCTGAGAGTCACCAGTTAACACGGTCACTGGTTTAACTGAAACACCTGCTGCGTCTGAATTCTGTGGAACTTGAGTCCACTGTTGGAACAACCAGACATTTTGATGCTGTTATATGCACACACATATATTTGTTGACGTTGCACTGACAATATGACACCATATTACATTTTGATGTATTTACAAATTAACTTGGCTGATGTGAGGCATTGTTTTTGGTCAGGCACTTGTATTAGATGGTTCCAAATCACGTATCTTATAGTGACGTCTTCTTCTGCTCAGACACCGTTTACTTTAATATTTAAAGAATATAAATGATGAAAAAAAACAACTGCAGTGCGGTTAACAAGCTCTCATTCGTGCATAAGAAGCAACCAACGATCGATCTCAGACAGATGCATCAAACTACTACAAACACTGAGTCACTGCAGAAGAAAACATGCCAAGTTGCTTGCAACAATATCAGCAACGTGCTGCCTGATGTTTTACTTCTAATGTATGTCAACACAAGCTGGGGCTGAGCCACTGCACGGTTAACAACACGCTGGTCCACAGAGGGTCCTCCTGATCCGAGACTAACTCACACTATTAAGAAAATATGACTTGTTTTGTTTTTTATACTTAAGAACTAAACATCCTGATCCACACTCCAGACCAGCAGGTGGCGGTAATGCACCAATTCATGGTTTGCCAACCGCCAATAAACCTCAAAGAAGAAGAAGAAGAAGAAGAAGAAGAGAATCCTCCTGTTTAGCAGAGCATAATCTTCTTTAAGTAGCATTCATGAGAAATAACTTCCACACATTTAACGTCAACAGGAATGTAGAGATGTGTATAACGTATAAAACATACTCTACGTGTACGCATGCGTGTGGCAATAAGAACATACATCTTAAACACTGAGTTTTTAGATGGAGTCTGGCCACAAGTTCAAGCTGACACGAGACAGCTTCTACAAACTAATGAACAACATTTCACAGGATGCGTTTAATGAAACGAACCACTGCGTGGACGTAAACACGACATTACATGCAGGAAACGAAGAGAAACACTCACGACTGCACGAGTCCGCTTTGTTTTCCCCCGCTTGGTTTCGAAATGACAGGGTGCTGTACTGCGCATGCGTGTTGCGAACCGGATAGCACGACTTCTATATATACCAACAATGAACACAGACAATAATAATAATAATATAAAATACAAGGTAGCCAGAGAATAATATTATACACAAAAAGAAAAATATAAAATTAAAGTTGTATAAATAATTACATTAAATCCTTATAATTTAGCCTACATATAAAACGTTTTTTATTAAAGTCATGTTTAATTAGTGAAACCAAAGAAAAGTTTATTAACTTAAACATTGTTTCTTTTACTAACACTTGAATAAAATGATAAATCTCAAGTTTTTCTCAACGCTCAAATTTCCATCTTTATTCACAATTTATTGCAACTGCTTTTAGTTCTTACTTGTCAACTAATTCTTCTAACAATGATTTTCAACCTACCTGAGAATTAAACACTTTATTCACACTTGAAGGGACGGTACGTAACATTTAGGGGGGTTAATTGGCAGCCGTGGAATAAAATATTCATAACTATGTTTTAAGCAGTGTATAATTTCTAAAGCAGTATTTAGTTGATTGCAATCTGGAAATCACCACTAGAGGCGACTAAATCTTACACACTGGGTATTTAAACGTCAAATAACTTTGTAATTCCTTTCATCTCTTTGACTTAATGTTTAATCTTCATGTTTAATAAAGCAGGCAGCAATGTCCGGTTCTGCAGAGTGAAGCCGATGCATGGGGAAGTGTCTGAAAAGTTTATGGTCAGAGTTTATGGTCTCAATCTCTAGTTTCAAGTCTTCTTCAATACAGCATGATGTTCATTTAGTACATTATGGTCCATTTAGAGTCAAACAGACCATAAAGCAGGGGATGCTATAGGGGCGGGGCTACACCGTGATTGACAGGTCTCTACCATAGGTGTATACGATGTCGCTACGTCACTCCTCCACATTCCAATTATGGTCACTTCCGTTCATCGGTTGCGAATAAAACCAATATGGCGACGGTTGTAATCCAAGATGACGAACTCAAGGCGCCAAAGCAGCCGTCCACAAACCAAAGGGTGACGTCACAATGACTACGTCCACTTCTCACACACAGTTAATGGTTTAAAGCTTGCTAACTCGTCTGGATGGTTGGGGCAAAAACATAACATCTGCCAGCAAGTGCACGCATATTTTTGATGACGTCGGCTGTAAAAGAGTCTTTAGTCTTTATAGCTGATCAGCGGAAGAAAGAGTCGTACCAGAGGTGGCGCTAAAAAACAGATTTTAGTAGATGACAAGTCAGATGATCACCAAAATCGTTACGAATCGTCCTCTGGTGAGCATTGATATCCAGAGTGAATCTGTCAAATTGTTATGGAGATAAATCTCTGTGGAAACATCTGTATCAATCAGAATCATCGCGCAGCGGGCAGAAACAACAACTTCCCTCTCATCAGACGGGCCGCCCGTCATATCCATGTTATGTTATACAGATGGAAACCTCAGACGCGTTTACAACCAGATTACTGACTGTTTAATTAAATTGAATAATGCCAAACACTCAGCGAACCTGTGATGGAGAGGCATAATTCTGCCGCTGCATTAGCAGGAGGCTCATTACTCAGCGCTAATGACTTTCTCCAGCAGAGACACATGAGCGGGCCCGAGGTTCTGTTCCTGCTTTATGTTTTCTAATCAACCGTCCCGCTCTGTGAAGAATATCACCACTAAACTACATGCGTGAAGCTGTCTTTACCATGGAAAACAACTTTCATATTGTTCTATTTGGCCCAGTTGCTGCGTGTGGAAGAGGAGGAGGGGGAGGAGGGGGAGGCCATTAGCTGGATCGTGCGGCTGCATTCAGGTAGGAAATGTGATCCTAAATGTGCACCAGGTAAAGCTGCACATCCAGCACAGATTCGAGATCCACTGGAAGTATTTTGATGTTTGTTCTCTCTGTGTTTTCAGGGTCATGCGTGTTACAGAATGATGAGTGTTGCTCTCGCATCAATTTGAAAGTCAGGCTTTTCTTTCCCATCTGCAGTTTGGCTCATTAACAAAGTCCCGGGACCCTGTCTGACTCTGACATCCCAGAACGATGTACTCTTCACTTCAATAATAGACTTGTTTTTAAACATACTACATATTTGTTATTGTGTTAAATTAGGACCATTTGCGGCCCTTTGCCGTCGTTCTATATATGTCATGAACAGCAAACCTTAAGGCATGAAAACACATCTTCATTTAAATAAAACCACCAACGACAAACCGCGAAAGAATGAACATCAAGTGAAGCACATGACCACACGAATCAAGTTGACACGAGGACATTATGTGATTCAATTGGCTAATTTACATCACGTACAAACTATTTCATAATCATACTACATTTTCAATTCACATTTACTCCAATATTACTTTAATCAAAAAAAGATTATAATACATCTCAAGGCCATGGGCCTGCATCTGAAGTCAAGCTGTTTCTTCATGTTCTGAATGTTAAGCAGCATCCACTGATCTCTCTCCAACACCTTTGTGTCTCTGTGGTCTCGACGCTCTTCATCATACGAATGTGAACAACAGAGCAGTCTGTCCTTGAAGACATTCATGGTGTTGCACTCACTCCTTCAGATGAAAAAGTTCTCTTCTTTCACGCCTCTGCGCCGCTGGCTCATCCCTGGGTAATGTCAGCATAAAAAAATAAAAAATCACCACCGGCTCCACCAAAGTGACTTTTCGTTTGTTTGATTTGGACCAGGCGGCAACCTCCGGTTCTGCCGAGTGAAGCCGATGCTTCATGTGTTAAAGCTGCATTCTCTCTCGTGTCCACCAGGGGGCGA